ACTACTTTATTAGAGTTACAGAGGATTAATTTACCAGGACAAATGGAGAGAAGACTGGACAGGTGGAATTACAGACTTTTAGGGCTAAAGAAGACGTTACAGATCTTTAAAACTCCAACTTTTTAAATTATATAATTTATATAAAGAATTTATATAAAGAGATATTTATACCAAAAGTTATTCTTCAAGTTTGAACACTGACCATGAGTTTAGTCCTCTTTTTAATGTCTAAAAGTAAAAGGTTTTCTAGTCTAATCTTCTAGTTAGTATAAGAATTAAGGATCAACTCCATGATATTTATACTAATGGGTTACCAAACACTCTTTCTCTCTTCATATCTATATAAATATATACACACATATATATGCTGCCAGACCACATATATATATATGAACATATAATTTCTTGTTACCAAAATTTTATACATAGACATTTTTCCAACTGAGAATCAACTAAATCTTTGGATGTTCATAATAACCTTAGGCTGAGTGGAGGTCAGTCTCTTCTTTAGAACTGCATATCAGTGACTCCAGCCTTAGCAACTCTGAAAACATAAAAGGAGGAGGCTGCCTGAGTAAACTCTTGTCAATATTCCTTCTCTCTCTAAATTGTTATCAGGACCTGCAGTTACACGTGTGATGCCATTCCTTACTTTTCAGTATTGGATCTAATTGTCAGCATTTGCAGTCAAGTCACATAGTATATTCTCTCACTACTTTCTCTTGGAACCCTCCCCTCTCAGCAAACTCACAAATTGACATGGATGCAAGGAATGCAATGGGATGTATTTGAACCTATGAATGGGAGATAACATCATGTTTATTAAATAAACTTGTCACCTAGTCAATTTGGGGGAAATTACAAATCTCTTTAATTTTAATTAATTTGAGGAAAGTTACAGATTTCTTTGAGATATCTGAAAGCTCTAGGCTCCTTCCCAATAAAAATGTACCTTCACATACACTTTTGAATAATATTTCACAGATCCCTTAACAACTTTTCGTGCACATTCTGGAATGCTACCAGTTTTGGGTGAGTACCTCTGATCTAGTCTAAACCATGAGTTTAGTTCCCTTTTCAGTATTTCATGCATAGTTTGAACTAGGATCACTTACCAAGTTAATATAGCTTGCGTAGCACCCTCCTGCCCATCAGAGAAGGCAGTCTTTATATAAAGATAAACATCTTCATAGCAATGGTAGTTATGGTCACTTTAACAAAACCCTGAAATATATCATAGAAGCACATTTATTAAGTAGATATATTATTTGTAAGTATTAACTGAAAGGAAGAGGCTTCTAAACTGGCAAGTAAAGAGTTAGGCTAAAGGATGAAGAGGAACGCCTTGATATATATGGTATAATCAGTAGACAGAATCCAGATCACTGAACCTGGGATAATGGTGGGCATGAGGCTTGAAGGAGACATTGTGAAATCAGTAAAAGAAGAATATCTGCCAAGTAGCTTGGAATAAACAAATGAGTTTCATGAATCACAAGTCGAGTTGCTCTCTGATCGAATATTTGACCTCCACTCCCAACATCCCTTGCTTGGTAGGTGTCCCCTGAAACTGTATTGATTCTACTCAAGAGCCAATCTCTCCCTAAGAGTGGTCAATGAGCCTTTTCCACAGTTCAGGCTTCATAGTCTTCATGAAACTTCTAAATGGAGATATTTATCCCAGGTCAGGAAGAAAATGGCCTGGATAAAAATTTTAAACAAAAGCTGCAGAGCTGATGATGGGGAGAAAGAAGGGAAGCCCACACTGAAAGTCCGAATTTTGTGCTGATGTCACCAGAAATGACTGTGCCTTCCTTGTCTAGTGATTCCCACAAGCTTTAACCAGGGAGCAGAGATTGTACTGACTTTGCCACAGGCCTGAATACATAAGGAGATTGTAATGCTGTTATAAATTAGGGATGATTATAAACACTGCCAAGGGTTTGTTAATTATATGGTGTTAATTGTGTAACACATAATTATAAATTAATAATAATGTCACCTCACATTTTGTGAGTGCACAAAAGTATTCTGAGCTTAGAGACTAGACCCAGGTTTTGGGTTTTTCCTGAATTTTCAGGCACCTACGGAACCAGAATTAGAACTCAAATTTTCTAATTCCAGGTTAGTGATTTCACCATTACGCTCAACCTTATTCCTGACATGAGAAAATAACAGGCAGCATATGGCTGTGGCTAAGAGCACACATTTCAAGACAGGAAACGGGACATAGAACTTGGCCATATACCAGCTGTGTGACTTGACTGAGATATTTAATCTCTTTTGCTTCAAATGTTTCTTCCGTAAAAAGGAGATTCTTTATAGGTCCTGCCTAAGATGGGTGTTATAAGAATTAGGTACTTTTTAAAAACCTAGAACAGTGTCTGTCATGTAAGGAGCCTATCTATTTGTTAAATAAATGGCACAAATAAAAATATAATTTTGATAAACGGATAGACAAATTAATCTTAATAATAAACTAAAATCAGTTGAGCTCATGGCACTAGGGAGAGTCAAGCACTATAGTAAGAATTTGATGCAAGTTATTTTATGTCTTAGTCTGTTAAGAGTGCTATGACAAAATACTTAGACTGAGTAATTTATAGGCAATAAAAATGTATTTTTCACAATTCTAGGTGCTGGAAAATCTAAGATTAAGGCATCAGCATATTCAGTGTCTGATGAGGGCCCGGTCCTCATAGATGGCCCCTTCTTGCTTTGTTCTCCTCACATGGTGGAAGGGGCAAGGGAGCTTGAGCTTGTTACAAGGTCACTAATCCAATTAACGCGAATGTAGGGTCATGACTTAATCACTTCCCAAAGGCCCCACCTCTTAAAACTATAATACCCTAAAACTTGGGTATTAGGTTCCAAGACATTACTTTTGGAGGAGAATAACCAACATTCAGATCATAACACCTTATTTAACTTCATGGCAACCCAGTGAGGTGGGTCTAATTAACACTTCAGTTTACACGCGAAGAAACTGAGACTTAGAAAAGTGATGTAATTTGACTATGGCCATGCAGCCAAGTAATCTGACAGGTGGCCATGATGGAATTATGATTTGTCAGTCTCCATAAAGAGGTCTTCTAACTATGCTACATGCGATTTCCTCAATAGATACAAATAAATCCTCTAGAAAGTTATCTACAAGGCTAGCTCAGTCTCTAAAGGCATCTGGCACCACACCTTTAACACAGAACCATGAAATCCCTCCATGAGCCAGAGTCAAGTGTATCTGGATAGTGTTAAATGTACTGACACCTGGAATCACAGAGCTTCTGCCTGTTCTGGAGGGCAGGTTTTCCATCTGAAAGAGTGTGGTCTGACTCAGAGCACTGATGCATTTCTTACTCCTTCTCAAACACCTCAGGGAAGTCTACTGGCTCCAGGTAGGGCTGCCAGCTCTCTCTGGCAAAGCAGTGTTGACTATGCATCACTCTTGTCTGGGAAAGAGTGGTACTAAGGCAGTGAAATGGGCAGACACTGAGCAGTGGCACGGGTAATTGAGATCAGGAGATGAAAACTGTAGTCTGTTCCCCAACACTAAGGCACATAATGAAGGCCCTTGATCTCCACCTGAACCAGTTCCCACATTTCATCATAGTGGGTATAGTGGGAAAACAGTCTGGTCCAAGCCCCCTGAAAACCTTTCTGAGGTACATTCATTGTAGACCGACACAGCTTGAGGAGATTTTTAGAATGAATGAGGAGGGAGAATGACTTCTGTAGACAGGAAGTGGGGCCCTGTGAAGGCATCATTGTCCTTGTTTAGCATCCTCTGTCATTCTACTTTATCATATTATTTGTGTCTCTCTGATCCCAAAACTCCCAGAATTTTTATCCTTGACCATAACATGTGAACCAATTTCCCGTCTCTTGCAGTGGCACTGAAATTTTTGACGGGCGGAATGAAGACACTGTATCATAATGAGAAAGTTTAAGTGTTTATGAAAGCGTTACTTCTACAAGTGATGTCTCCCGAAAAGGGAAATATAAATACCATTTTCTGCCCTTCTAGGTTCAGTCAGGTCTTAGGATTCAGCACAAATTGATAGAAGAGGAAAAGAAGGCATATAATTTTTACTGAGCTTCTGTGATGTCCCAGGTATTTAAAATGTATATTATTTAATTCTTACAAATCTCTAAGACAGAGTTGTTATTATTTCCATCATACAGATGAGGAAACCAAGGCACCAGAAAGGGCTGGTAACTTCAGTTTTGCAATTACTGATTTAGCACAAGTGGTAAGACATGAGGATGATATGGAGTGGTTAGCAGCAGGGGGCCAAAGGCCTGAAGGGGTTTACTTCTTGGTTCTGGTCTTCACAAACTGTGTGGCCTTGGAAAGTTACTAAATCTCTGTAACCTCAGTCTCTTCATCTGTCATGTAGGTAGAATAACTCCTACTTCATCTTGTTGGCATGAGGACACATCTTTTGCCAGGGAGTCATCACTTACATGAGTTAGTGCAGTTAAGGCCCTGTCTATAACTTCCTGGCACCTAGTAAGCATTCAACTGAAGTTAGCTTTCATTATTCCCTTGAGCCAGGCATGGCTCAAGACCAAGACTTGGAATCAGTCTCTTAAAGTTCCTTGGCTTTCCCTATTGTATATGTGTCTCCTCTGAAATCCTCTCCAGTATAGGAACTGATTGGAAGAGTTAGAGATAAATCTCTGCCTTGCAGAAGTTCACAAGTGACCAATGGCAAAAAATGTACTTTAAACTCAAAATGGCAGCAGGGTACCATCAGAGGAGACATCATTTTTAAATAATAAAAATTGAATCTGGGACGAGCGCAGTGGCTCACGCCTGTAATCCCAGTACCTTAGGAGGCAAAGGCAGGTAGATTACCTAATGCCAACCAGTGAAACTCCGTCTCTACTAAAAATACAAACATTAGCCTAGTATGGTGGCACATGCCTGTAATCTCAGCTACTCAGAAGGCTGAGGCAGAAGAATTACTTGAGCCTAGGAGACGGGGGTTATAGTGAGCTGAGATCATGCCACTGCTCTCCAGGCTGGCCGACAGAGTGAGACTCAAAAAAAAAAAAAGAAAGGGAATCTGGAAACAAGAGAATGAAAAACTAAATTTGTAAGGGAAGGAGCTCCCAGTGACTGTTCCCAGTGTCCTCTCCCCTGACAAAGCTTCCTATAGTTTCACCCCATTTCAAGGCAATCAGGGATGTTGCTTGGCAACCCCACCAGGAACAGTAGAGTGAGTTCTGTCCTAGTAGCATTAAGGGTTGCTACTGCAGTCCTGAAAAGGCCCAAACTTTCCTTTAAAACCCCTCCTCCAACACAAGGGACACCAGCAAATTGGAGGCACCTGGGAAGAGAGTCCTCTGAGGGGTAAGGTTGAAAAGAAGGCAGGTAAAGGGGAAAATAATCCATCTAAATTAGTAGAAAAATGTAGAGAAAATATTATTTTTATTTTCTTCAAGCACTGCAAAAACTTGGTGGGTTAAGAGAGATTTGTCGAGCCACGAACTTGGTGAGTCAGCTTCATTGAATTTTGATGTGTCAATTGAGGCCAGCAGGACATGCCCAGTGTATTAGTCCATTTTCACACTGCTGATGAAGACATACCCGAGACTGGGAGGAAAAAGAGGTTTAATTGGACTTACAATTCCACAGGACTGGGGAGTCCTCAGAATCATGATGGGAGGTGAAAGGCACTTCTTACATGGCAGTGGCAAGAGAAAAATGAGGAGGGAGCAAAAGTGGAAACCCCTGATAAACCCATCAGATCTCGTGAGACTTATTCACTAATCATGAGAATACCACGGGAAAGACCAGCCCCCATGATTCAATTACCTCCCCCGGATCCCTCCCATACATGTGGGAATTTGGGGAGATTCAAGTTGAGATTTGGGTGGGGACACAGCCAAACCATATCATCCAGTTGCCAGCTGAGGTAGGCAATCACTCCCAATAGCTGCAGCCTCTTGGTTACCACCTACAAGTTCAATCTCAAAGTAAGATATGGAGAAAATATTACCCCTAGTTGGTAGAGACTGAAGGTGTTAAAGTTCAACTCTATGTTCATTCATTCAACACATTTTTTTTGAGGTGTGCAGTTCAGATAGGCAGTTGGGCATTAGTTTTTAAACGTGATACATGTTAAAGAGAAGGAAGTTTAAGATGTTAATGGAGTGTATGACATGGACTCTTAACCTAGATTGGACAGGGAGGGGAAGGTTTCAGAAAGCATGAGAGGATCTGATGTTTAATAGGAGTCTTGAATGATAAGTCAAATTGAATGAAAAGAGCAAAGGAAACATTTTTCCATGGGGAGTACAGAGCTTAGGCAGTGGTCCAGTCCAGCTGGAAATGAGAGAAGTGGATGAACTGGGGATGGGGACGCAGAGTATTAGTAGCAGAAGATAAGGGTATTATGCAGTCATATGATGAAGTCTTGCAAGTCATATGAGGATTCTGGACTTTATCCTAAGAGCTACTGGCAGCCATTGCAAAATTTCCAGCATGACAGAATATAATCAAATGTACCCAGCATCCAGTCAGCTTTTCTGCTATCCCATCCTACTCTATTCTTGTACCACAGTATTTGGATCCCTGCTCCAGTCTCTTGAACTCCTTGATTTCCTTCTTAGTTTCCCTGTCCCTGAAGTAAGGGAACTTTGCTAGTTTTTTGCCATATCCCCACTCCTTCTTTGATGTATAGAGTCCTGCTCTTGCACATGAGCTTATAGCATCCATTTACCTTTCATTTCTTCTGTCTTTGCCTGTTACAAAACTATCAGTCATAGGGTTTATCCCTGTCACCCATTTCCATGCACTATTATGGCTGTCCCTGATGCTGTTTGATTGGATTACCTCTCTGTTACTCACTATTATCTTCATCCTCCCTACACTAGGTAAAACCCACTGAAGTAGTTATCTTCCCACACACTGTAGCAGCTGTGTGTGAACCCACTACTTGCCTGGGAACTGATCCACTCCAAAAGACCTGTCTCATTTTGAGTTCTGTCCAGAACAGTGATGACCCAAAATATTCATCCTAACCATTCACCTTTTTAGAATAGTGGCTAAGCACACTGCTTCTGGAGTCAATTTTCCTTGTGAGTGAATCTTGGCTTGCACTATGACTTACTGGGTGAACTTCGGCAAGTCAGTTCATCTCTCTGAGACTAATTTTATTATTCTTACATGAAGATATTGTTGCCCACCTTTTGGGGTTGTTGTGAAGATTAAAAGAGACTATGAAGAGAAAATATCTGGAATAGCCTTGCACTAGTAGGAACAAAATAAATACTGGTTCCTCTTCACCCTTCCTCTGAAAGCACATTACCTGCACATATTTCTGGTTTTGATCCTTACAATGCCTTTCTAAAATTGGAGGATCAAAGGAGATTCTGCATATAAAGCACAGACATATAGTAAAAACAAAATAAATACAGCTAATATCATTCACTATTAGTATTAATGAAGCAGCATACCCCAATTGAGAGATTAATTGTGTCTTATTTTCTTGAATATAGGCTCGTGATTAATGAACAAAAGGTAACCCCCCATCATGACAATTCCTTTCTGTGTATTCACATGTACCATGCACATACTGCAGTATTTGTCTTCTAAGATCTCTTTTCCATCTTTGAGAAGGACCAGCAGCCTCTAAAACCTTCCTCTTAGTTTCAGAGGCTGTCCTGAAAAAACAACAACAACAAACTTTCCTTTTAGTTTCAGAGGCTGTCCTGAAAACAACAATAACAACAACAACACAACAACAACAACAACAACTCCCCCTGAGAGATTAACAGAATAGCTGAGTTGAAAATCTTCATTGCTGCCATTCTTATCCCAGTTTAGAAAAATGGCATCCATGCAGCAGTAGATAGTGATGATTACTATTATGGGCTGAATCGTATACCGCTAAAAGTCATGTGTTTTAAGTCTGAACCCTCAATACTTCTAAATATGACTATGTTTTGAGATAGGACCTTTAGAGAGATGATTACAGTAAAATGAGGTTTTAGAGTGAGTTCTCATTCAATCTGACTAGTAGCCTTATAGAAAGAGACAATTTGGACCCATAAAGAAACACCAGGGTTGTGAGTCCACAGAGAAAAGGCTTTGTGAGTACATCGCAAGAAGATGGTCATCAACAGACCAAGGAAAGTGGCCTCAGAAAATTCTGAAACTGCTGACACTTTGATTTTAGAACTGCTGGCCTCCCAAACTTTGAGAAAATACATGTATGTTGTTTAAGTAACCCAATGGTATTTTGTTATGGAAGCCCTAGCAAATGAATACAGTGGCACATTAAAAATTAGGCAATCATTGTAGAGGTAGGGAGAGACCAGGTGGAGAGAGACAAGTGTTTGAATCAAAAGAGAGATGGTTGTTTGGGCAATCCTGGCTCAGATGTCCTGAGAATGGGTGGATAGAGACCTGTACTTTGCTTTCCTACAGAGAACTGGATCAATGCAACTGCTGCCTTAGGTCAGCTTGGAAAATGGATGCCTGGTGTGTGCCCTTGAGGCCAGTATCTAGGTCCTCTTGTGAAGACTGTAAGACCATTAAGAGGACACTACAAGTGGCCTCAGTGTGACTGCATGGAACAGCACCCTCAAAGGATGCCTTCACAGCATTTCCAGAGACTGGTTGCAAGGCCGTGGTTTGACCATTAACCAGACGTCTGCCTCATTTTCCTGGGGCCGTATGTGCAGAATTGATGCAATCTCCAAAAGGAGGTTCCAGGGAGCTTCATTAATGAGTGCAATGGTCATCCTGCTAATCAGGTGGGTAGCCATTCAGAACCAGAAATAATGTATCTTAAAAAGAAAGACATGTAACATTTCTAGCATCCATGTGTTGTGGAATAAACTAATATCCATCATATATAAACAGAGCAACTATAAAGTCACATTGTGTATTAAGGTAAGAGGAATACTTATTTTGATCTCTGTTGCATTCCTACTGCACGCACTGTGTCTAGTACCAGTATGTGCTCAGTAAGCATTTGTTGAATGAAAAAAAAAGAAGCATTCATATGTTATTTCCTTCATTTCAGAGATGCACGAACAGAGGCCCAAGCAGTAAAGAGACCTCACCAAGGTCATGCTGTGAGTCAATTGCAGAGACAAGGCAAGATTGAAAACATTTGACTCCAATTCCAATGCTCTGCTGAAAGCCCATGTAGATATTTAACATCTTTTCTGCCTGGGCCAGAATGCGCAGAATTATCTAGTGTGACAAATCCTCTTTTCCTCTGTCCCTGTGCAAAGGGAATTGCCATCTTCTGTGATCATCAAGCTGGCAACATCAATCTGGAAGTTTGTTAATGACACTGACCTAAATCTGTCACGTTGCAAGAAACTCTTCACAGCAGCTGGGATTTGCTCCCATATAACAGCTTTATGGTATGTGGAACTCTCTAATAAGCTGATTAAAAAATAAAATGTTTGAAACCTTAATATGTACTTTTCAGACATCTGATAATAAGGAAAGTGAGTGGAAACCTCACGCTGAGTGTAAAAAAAGCAAGGATCCTGTTGTATGAGAAGATGAACATCCTTGGGTTGAGGCACATTTCTCACAGTTATCAGAGAAAAGATCTGGCATGACCATATCCTTGTTTAAACCTTTCTTGGTGGTTTGTTTTATTGCCAGTTCAGCACATGCAGGATAAAGTCATAGGTAAGCAGTGGACCTTCTTAGGATGAATTGACTTCTGACTGTGGCTATGAAATAGGAACATTTTATCAATTATGTGCCTGACACTGAGGTGTACATCTATCTCTCTAATTCTCTAAAAGACTCTGAAGGCAAGATAGACATGGCCACCCTCATTTTACCCAATAGGAAACCGATTCTCAACAAGTGTCTTTGGTCTTGAAACTTTGGAGTAGCAGGATTCACACAAGCTCTGTCTGACACCCACACTCATATTATTAAGCCATTTTTTTCCTCCTTTCAAATCAAGCAAATATGAGCACCTACTATGTGCTTGGTACTGCAGTTAAATGGCTTGCTACCTCAAAGCAAAGGAAAATGTACTAGAAATCTTCCTCAATTCAGAAAGTTTTTACAGTGTGCTTGAGTGTAGCAAACTTCTGGTTGAAATGTAGACATCATTATTATCAGTACTTTTCTATTGTAGTAGGAAACCTAATCTCATAGATGAGTATTTTATAATTAAACATTGGACAGAAAACAAAAGTTAATTTAGCAGACGGGGTTACTTAAACCATGCACGTTCCCAAGCAAGATTTGTCTTCAAGGCTGGTCTTTGGCCAACTCCTAGGAGATGAGTTCTGAGCCTTGGTTTATTCTGCTTGACAAGAGTATTTTTGTATTCTTAGGGCCATGGACCATGCTGTACCAGTTTGACCAGATAGCTTCTGCTAATAAGTGTTGTTTATGGTGAAGCCCTGTTTTTGCTCTGGAGACCTGGAATCAAAATAGTTGAGATCAGTTACACAGCTGTTGCATGTCTATGTAACCAGTCCCTGCTAAAAATTCTGGACATCAAGACTCAGGTGAGCTTCCCTGTGAGTCAACACTTCACATATATTATCACACATTGTTGCTCGGAGAATTAAAGTGGCCATGTCACTCCACAAGGACTGGACACCTGGAAGCTTGCACAAGCAGTTTCGCTTGTACTTCACCCTATACAACTTTTCCCTTCGCTGATTTTAGTTTGTGTTTTTTTGCTGTAATACTCTTTAACAGTTAATATGAAAACTTCTGTGAGTTCTTCCAGTAAATTGTCAAGCCTCAGGGTAGTCATGGGCACCCCTATATAACTATCTGCTTCCCCACTCATCATCTTTATTCCTCTTCACATTCCTGAGAGCAACTGAGCTGGCATATCCATTCTGTGAATAAGGATTCCTAGGCTCACTAAGGTAAAGTGCCTCTTTGATGGTGTTTTAGGGGGTCCAAAGTCACTTGCAGTCTAAATCAGCTAACCTTGAGAATGGTTAAACAGTTGCAGATCTATGTTGTGCCTGTCACACTGAAAAAGGAGAGGACTGTGGATGTGGCTTAGGTGCACACCATAAAGGCTCTCTATGACTACACCCCAGAATTACGAGTATACCCGCCCAGTCACAAACGGCCCTGGATGACTATAGTCCTCTGTGAGGAATGAGTTTCACTCCCAAGCTTATAGCATGTTAGGGAGAAGACTGATGCACTACTTTGCAAGGAGACACAGCCTAGAAAGTCACTTGATCTCTCAAACACAACCATCAGAACACTCACTGCATTCTTACGTGAGGAATAAGTGAGGAAGCAGAGATGCATGAAACATGCTTCTGATTAATAGTTGCCCTTCTATGCAGACTCAGTGATAGAGAGGAAAGAAAATTGCTTGGATATTTCAGGAAGTCAGCAGTGCTGCCAGAACTAGAACTCCCAGTGTTCCTGGAGGCCAGGACATGTCCTCCGACAACATTCTACATTGACCTCATGGCAAACACTGTGCGTTTTACTGTTGACTTCCAACTCTGAGGGTCTCCATGACATAAGATACTGCCAATGCTTAAAATGCAAAACAAACAAAAAAAAGCAATAAATAACCTTCATTGAACTCAATTAGCACCATATAGTTGAGGAAAACAACCCCCCTCCCTACAGACCCAGGACTATTTCTAAAAGACTGTGCCTGAAATATAAGATAAGCATAAATCTTTAGTCTTCTCAAGCTGTTTTGCCTCTATCAGAATGTGGCCAGATATTCAGACTTAGCCCCATCAGCCACTTCTTAGTCCTGTCTCAACTGTCTCCCCTTTAATACACTTAAAAAAAAAAGCTGTTGTGAAACATTGGGGTTCTGTGTCTCAGCTTCATTCATTCATTTGTTCATTTATTGAGCGCTCATTAAGCATAAGCTATGTATTAAATGTTGCTCTATGTTTTGGGGCCGCAAGAACAATTAAGTCCTTACCACAAAGGGTTTACCTTCAGTTTTAGGAAGTAGAGCATGCTGATGAAACATAGAAACATGCATCCCCAAACCAAAGATAGACTCATTTGCAGGATACAGTCAAGATATAGATGAGAGAGTGGTAAATCTCTTATTTGCACTCTAAAAACACCTACTTCAGATCTGTCATTCACATCAGCTCCCCATTTTCTCCCCAACCTCCAATTACCTCTTTTGGCCCGATTCTTCAGTTATTCCCAACACCCACTCGTGATTTGACTAAGTGCCCTCAGTACCTATATCCCTCACCCATGTTGGTTTGGACCAGATGCTCTATTGAGCCTAGTGCTCAATCTGTACCAGTTTAATTGCCATTCAGATTTGGGCCTTGCAGCCTGCCTTGGCAACTACTTCTGCAAGACTTTTGCCGGCAGAGCTCAAATTGTACCTCCAGAGAGCTAGAGGTTGTGTTGTACTTTCTATGGTAAGCCTATGACCTGGAATTGCTTATCCAAGCTGAAACACAATCTACTCACCTCCTGGTTTGGGGGCATGATTTAAAGCCTTAATGGTGTCTCATCGATTTTTTAAGGTATGCTCAGAACTGGCACTCTGCTCTTGCATATTTTAATTGTTACTGTTTTATTCTTGCATCCTGAGGTGATTTTACTGGAAGAATACATGCTTGAAGAAGTTGAATTAAATACAGGTAAATCTCATTAATTCAGGCTCCACTAATTCAGGCTGTACTCAAACATAACTTTGTGCTATCCAGAATTAAAAAAAGATTTTCTAAATAAATTAATGGTGGAAATAAGACCTCAGGGGGAAGAGAATGTTTCACCTGTTTAAAAGGCAGTGCTTCCAGACACTGTAGGGATTTCACAAAAGCCATCAACATATAAACAATTTCCTTTGTGTTTGTTTATTAAGGCTAAAGACTTATTCATCAAATACAAATTTCCTGTTTGGCAAACCTTTCCTTTAGTTTGTTATTTTGTAGAGTTGGAAAAAAATAAGGCAACACATCTTTTAAAATAGTCACCAAACCTAATCCTCTCCATAATGCTAAATATATTATAGATGTATTGTATCTACACATAAATACATGTGTGTATGGATTAAAAATACAATGAAAACCTCTTAAAATGAAGTGGCATATTTATGGTGAGTAGGAGAAAAGGTGATTTTTATATTCTACCTTATATTTGTAAGTATTTTCTGTAAAGAATTCTTATTTTTATCATCAACATAAACATGTAAAAAAATCACTAATGTTTTTGAATACCTAGCAGGTCTTTCTTCCCTCCAAATAGTAGATATTAAGTAAAGCTGAGTCATATTCAGCATTTATGAATGAAAAGACCTGGTAAGTAGTATGAGAAGCTGTTGCACCACAATTCCAAAATTTATCTCTAGGCCACCCTTGTTGGAAGCAATCAATCAGGCAGTCCATTCAGTTTAGAATATGAAAGGAGCCTTGACTACCTCTTACTTTGCATCAGCAACCACCTCTTATTATCTTCTCATGGCAGGATTGTGGGAGAAGTCGAGGAGGATGTTGATTCTACCTTTGTATGTGTTCCACAGAAGTTCAGAGGTGTCTTGGTCAAACTGCGGCAGCTCACACCCAGCACAGTAACTATGTGGTTACTGAATACCTTATAAGCCATTAGGAGTGCTAAACACCTCCCATAAAACTTCTCCAAATCCTATTGGTTACCATTACAATGATTACATTACAATGATTGCAGGTGAATTGAATATCTTATTTATTCCAGGTAATTTTCCATGCACTTTAAAGATACAATTTACTTTTTCACCACAAATAATCACAGACTGATGCTCAGGGATAGGGAAGAAATTGCCCAGGTTTCCACAGCTGGTGCATTACAGAGGTGATACTCAAAGCCAAAGTCAGCCAAAAGAAAGTCCCTACCCTCAACACAACACAGCACTGAGTGCCACAGCCTAATAGCCACACCGCATTCCGGCTGTTGCAAATATCCATCCAGGCAGGGCACTGGGAACTTTAAAGGGCCTTGGTGTTTGCTGGTCACTCTTGAATTTGGATGTTTGATTCTTGAGATAAACATGAGGTTGGATTGACCAGATAACTCTCTTGAGACTGGAACATATTTATAGGCTCAGAAAAAGCACATTATTAAGAAAGAGCACTGGATTAAGGGTCAGACAGTTTGAGTTTTAACCTCTGCTTCTTCCCTTAATTAAATATATGATCTTAGCTGTGTATTTCACCTCTCTAAACCTCAACTTTTTAAATTGATCAGCATATACACCAATGAGGAGACAAAATGAGATAAAGTATTTTATCATGACTTGAAACTTTCTTTTATTAATATAATTTTAATTAATGACATCTTCATCTTCGCAATCAACTGTCCTCAATGATCTAAGCATGCAATTTAGAATTGTCTGAACTAGATAGTGCACATAAGCTTTTGTTTAACATAGACTTCAATAGGTCTTTCTGGAAGTAAAGTGTCATTTTAAACAAGAACGTGAGTTCAGTCTGCAATCAGGCAGGTGTTAGTAATTTCTATTTTTCTTGCCTGCCCTAACCTTCTAAAACCCAAATCATGAACTCAGATATTTTATTATTGATAGGATAGATGTCAAATGGCTCGATAAATAACCAGTTAGGAAGGTTGTTCTCGCTGTAATAATCACAAAATCTCAGTGTCATAACATTATAAAATTCTCTCTCTCCATATCATAGTCCAATGTCAATTGGGTGGCTCATCTTGGTGTCTCCTCTGTAAGTAGAAACTTGATGATCCAGGTGTCTTTTTCCTTGCAATGTTTGCCTGTTAACTATGTGTCCTCCAGGGATTATTGCAGGAGAGAGGGAGGGTCTTACTGAAGATTTTGGAAATGAGAGCTGAATATGTTGTGTATTTCTTTAGGCCACATTATATTGCCCAGAATGAGTCATGTGATTTCAGCCTACTGCAAACCTTACTGTGTGTCCAGGAAGTGGAGATGGAATCTGTGAATATGGTGGTTTCTTTTCTGGACACGGGGCTGAAACACAGCCACCGTGCATCAGTATGCTGAGAGTCTGTTCTTACTGGCTGGTGTCTTTGCTGTTCCAGTTGTTCAGTATTACGCTGGCTGAAATTGCTTGTTATAGTGATTAAGAGCAGTATTAAAATAGGTTTATGTTTTGTTTCATTTCATTTTATTCCATTCCCTTCCATTTTACTTTATTTTATGAAGAGAGTGTAATTTTATTGCCACAAATTACCATCCCATATGTCTTGTAATTGGAGTCATAGAATATGTAGCCTTTCAGATCGAGGTTTTCACTTAGCAGTATGCATTTAATGTTCATCCATGTTTTCGATAGCTTGATAACTTACTTTTTTAAATTGTTTTGTCGAACTGCTGTACCACAGTTTGTTTATCCATTCACGTACTGAAGGACTTGGTTGCTTCCAGCTCTTGGCATTTATAATACAGCTGCTATACATATTCATGTGCAGATTTTATGTATATAAAAAGTTTCAAATCAGTTGAGTAGATACCTAGGGCACAAGTGTTGGATTGCATGGCAAGACAATGTTTGATTTTGTAAGAGACTGCCAAAGTGTGCAAAACGTACCATTTTGCATTCCCAGCAGCAATGAATGAGAGTTCCTGTTGCTCCATGTTCTCACCAGCAATTGGTACTGTCAGCTTTTTAAAAATTTGTCATTCTAGCAGAAGTGTAGTTGTTGGACATCCTTTCAAAGTTTCAAATATTCTGGGACCAATATAAACATAGCCAGACAGTGGCCTAGAAAATTCTCTTGACATTGACATTATTCACTCTGCGTGGGTGACTGGATAGGTTATGATGTAAGGAAAGATACAATTTTCTCCATGCAGACTGGATAAGCAATTGCACAGGGTTAAGCTATATAAAATACTCATTCATTAGAGGGCTGAATGATCAGCTGGTAAAATCTCTGATTTGATCCGTCTCTTGGGCACAGTGACAGTGCCCTTTCCAGTGGTTTTCTCTAAATCCATCTCCTTCACACCTTCGTGGAACATAGGTTTGTTGCTAGAGCATCTCTGTAATCTATTTTCCATGGCAGAATTAGCTGAAAGATAAACAGATTTAAATCATCACTTAAATTATATAGAAAATGCTGACTCTAGGGCTTAAGGGAAACACAGAGACTTGTTCTTAGAGAAACCAAGAAATTGATTTCTAAGGAAAAGAATGCCTCCAGGGAAGAGGACACAGTGATATGATAAGAAAGAATCTTGAGTCCTTACCTCAGAAACTAAGCTTCCAGCTATTCAACTTTCTCTTCTCTTTACACAAAGCAAATAGCTAGTGTGAAAGAATAGCCTCCAGTCAAAGATAATTGATAACATCATAAGATTCAGTATTTTACCTATGTACGATAGATAAGTGCAAAAACATGTGGGAGTACCTATATGAACAAACCTTCACCCCATATTCAGAGGGAAATATATTACTGAAACCAGGCAAGAAAGAATATAAAATGTACAATCAGAAGAATAAGCAAAACCATAAATTATTTAAAAGTATTCAGAAAAAAATATCTCATTGTCTGGAAAGAAAAAATTTAACTTCAGTAAAGAAAGAAGTCCCTAAAGTATTATAAAAGAAGAAAACAAGATGATAGGGTATAGACATAAAAAGTGAACTAAATTAATTTTTAAAAATTTAGAGGAGAATAATAAAACCATTAGAGAAACTGAATCATCATTAGAAGAAAAAAAAAAAGTAGAGTTAAAACTTTACCGAATATCAAAATTTGTGAAGGACAAGTTTAGAAAAGTAAGATAAAGTAACAACAAATTGGAAAACAGTAAAAGTGATCCAAAAAATATAGCTAGGATTATAGAAGAAAACAACCATATAAGTGATTAATGTTTCTGAAAAAGAAAACAAATTGGGTAGAAAACAATATTTATAATGTAACAGAAAAACACTGAATTAAAAAAATACATACACAAAGTGAAAGTGTGTACAGTCTTCAAAAATTTGATTTAGCAGAAAACCATACCAAATGTGAGACATAGCTGCATAAGTTATTGTTTCTAAGATAAAAAATGACTCCTAAAGTCATTCCAACACACACACACACACACACACACACACACACACACACTCCCCTACAGAGAGGGGAATGAGCAATAGACTAGTTCCTGCTGTTTTTTTGTTTTTTGTTTTTTTTTTTTCTAGGCAACAGTTAATGCTAGCAGACAGCGAAGCAATGTACACAGGCAAGGTGTACCCTGCTCTAAGGGAAGGGAAGTGTGACCCAAGGACTTCATGCCATGCCAAATTGGTGTTCAAGAATAAAGGCAATCAAAAACCATTTTTATACATGGTAGAGCTCAGAGCAAATGTCACCCATGAGCCTTTCTTGAAAAAAGATGTGGTCATAAAGTCCAGTCAACCAAGAAATGAAGCAAAATAAAATGCATAGAAATGGAGGAACTATGGTAACAAAGTTCTATGTACTGAATTTATTTTAATTTGAACTAACTTTAAAGAAAGTTTGGAATTTTGGTTAATATGCAAAATGTTGAGTATTATAAACCATGAAAATTATACGAAAATGAAACTAACATAAATTAGAAGTGAGAAACAGGGTGGTGAATGGAAGTTTGTGTATGAGTGTGTATTTGTATGTGCACACATGCTAATTTTTAAAAGTTTTCATTGTGGTTGGATAATTTTATAAATATTACTTATATCTGAGACAGCAAAAATTTAAAGATATCATTAATAAAAATGAATATAGCAAATAGGGTTTTACTTTTATTGTTAAAGAAACTTCTAACTTATCAGAAGGAAATCAGAAATACCAAAAGAAACAACAAAACACATGCCCAAAAGCAAAACATAGAAAATATAATGGCACAAAAATCAGAGATAAACATAAAATAAAATGATGGAAGGAAATCAAAACCAGACAGGTTCAATTATAATGAGATGAACTCATATATTACTTTTAAAACTCGTCATATTGATTCAGAAAACAATATGGAGTTAGAAGAATTTAAAACAAGTGTCTTCGAACAATTGGAAAATACTAAATAGAGGTATACTATTCTAACAAAAATAAATCAGAAATTAAGTAACAAGCATAAGATAAAATTAAAATCAGAGTTAAAATAATTAAAAGAAGAGCACTTTCGAATGATAAAACAATGGAGGTCTCATTGTCATGAATTTTTATGTTTCTAATATCACAGCATTGATATTTTTTAAAATGTAAGGTGGGCGCGGTGGCTGATGCCTGTAGTCCTAGCACTTTGGGAGGCCAAGGTGGGCGGATTACTTGAGGCCAGGAGTTCCTGACTAGCCTGGCCAACATGGTGAAACCCCATTTCTACTAAAAAAAAAAAATTAGCTGGGCATGGTGGCAGGTCCCTGTAGTCCCAGCTACTCAGGAGGCTGAGGCAGGAGAATCACTGGAACCTGGGAGGCAGAGGTTACAGTGAGCCAAGATCACATCACTGACTCCAACCTGGGCAACAGAGTGAGACTCTGTCTCAAAAATAAAAATAAAAAATATCAAAATTAGCACATACAAACAACATTGTTGAGGCTTTCCAATAAAACACTCAGTTGAAAAAAAAAAATCAAGTAGAAGAAAAAAATTAGATGCGAAGATATTATGTAAATAGCATAACTAATAAGGCACATATTATGAATTTTATACCACAGAACAGCATATTCTTTACAAATGCCCATGAAACATTTACATATCCCAATCTTGTGTTGATTTACTTCAAACTTGAAAACTTCAAAGTTAAAAACAAGAAATTGCATAATTATATTTCTGCTCACAATGAAATCAAAATGAGATTGCGAAGGCAAGATCAGAAACTCCATTTATCCCACACTCCAAATGATTCTTTGAACAAAAAGAAAATTACGACTAAAATTATTGAATATCTAGAAAATAATGATAAAGAAAATACCAAAGATCAGGCTATATGTCATAGAGTTATAATTATGCTTAGAGAATTCATAGTTATTAAAGTATTTGCATATAAAAAAGCATGAAAATAAATTGCTCATTCATCTAAAAATTTTAGAAAATGAAAATCAAAGTAAACATAAGGAAGACAAAAGGTGGGAATTAATGAGCAAAAACCAAAATTAATTATTTTGAAAACAGAAACAGTAGAATTAAAAAATACGAAGACCATAGTCAAAGGTTGTAGCTTTGGAAAAAAAGATTCCTTAACTATCTAATTTTCTAAAAAGTGTATGCATGTTTATATGTGTTAAGGGTGGCGTATGTGACTAGGCAATGACAATATCAATGCTAAAACCAGATAACTGGAACAAAATAGAAAAATACAATATATCACATCTCTCGATATTGTTATAAAACTCTAAAGTCTTTGCAAATAGACTCCATCTTTATATGAATAAATAGGAAAGCACATTATAATCCAGTCATTTTCTTTTTTCTAGGAAGGAAAGAACTATTCAAGATTAAGTATTACATTAATATTATTCAATATCTTAATAAAACAAAGGAAAAAAGACTCAGCATGTGGTTATCTTAATACTTAGTCAAACAAACCCACGATAAAATGTACCTAATTTAATTTGTATATGGTTAATAAAATAATGGAATAGAACTTTTTTTTTCTTTTCTTTTTTCTTTTTTTTTTTTTTTTTGAGACAAAGTATCACTCTGTCACCAGGCCCAGGCTGGAGTGCAGTGGCACGATCTCGGCTCACTGCAACCTCTGCCTCCCTGGTTCAAGCGATTCTCCTGCCTCAGCCTCCCAAGTAGCTGGGACTGCAGGTGTGTGCCACCATACCCAGTTAATTGTTGTATTTTTAGTAGAGACGGGGTTTCACCATGTTGGCCAGGATAGTCTCGATTTCTTGACCTCGTGATCCACCCGCCTCAGCCTCCCAAAGTGCTGGGATTACAGGCGTGAGCCACCGTGCCTGGCCAGAATAGAACTTCTTTAACCCTGTGTAAAACAAAAAGTTGTTAATTTTGAGACGGTAGAGGCATTTTTTTTTTTAAGTCAAGAACAATGCAAAGAAAATACTGTGTAGGCTATTAGGAGAGTTCACAGTAGTGTCCTTTGGGTTGTGGACTTTTCAGAGAGACTGATTTTTGCATTATTTTACCATTTAAACCAAACGTTTACCATATGCATGCATTTCTTTATAGTAAAATACCTAAAGGAGGTATTTTGTCTAAAGGAGACAAAATGGCCATACTTTCCATTGAATAAGTAAGAGCTATATGATATTATTTGTAAAGGATATTTTATAGTTTATATCAATTAATTTACAAATAAATAAAATATATTCTATCTTGAATAAAAGGAACTAATAGATGATTGATAAATTGTAACACAGTGGTTAAAAGATTAGTTAGTCCATGGAGGCATGCAGGCTTAGCTGGAGTCATCATCCTGTCACTAAAACATGTGTAATCTCTAGTCTTCTATTCAACAAGCAACTATACTCTATGCAGTTTGCTTATTTTCTATGAACCTCAATTTCACATTAAGGTGTGTATAATAATAGTAATAATAATAGTGATAATTACATTAATATCTATTTCATAAAACTATTATAAGGATTAAATAAGCAAATGACTGTAAAGCTTTTAGCACAATTTCTGACACAGTAATTACTTACAGTATATTAGCTATAATCAAAAAGAGTAGAAAAAATATGCCAGCCAGTCACCCTCTCACTTTAGTATTACCTATTATTATATAAGATGGAGAGAGAGAGAGAGAGAAAGAGGGAGAGAGAGAGAAGGAGGGAGAGAGAGAGATCTATGACAGACACCTATGTAAAATGAACATGCCATTTATCTTATTTATCTTCTAAACAAAGTGGCATTCATATAGCTTGAAAGCCTGATTTTACTCATTAGCAATGTATTGCCAATATCTTTCCATTGCAATAAGCACACTTTTGTCTCTGTTGCCATGCCTTGATTCAAGCTACCACATTTTCTTGCCTGAATCTTTGCAACAGCTCCTAACCTGTCTCCTTGCCTCTATTCTATTTCTTGTTCATGGTCATGTTTCTCAAATTCTTCAAACTTGTCAGCATTCCCCACTGCCTACAGGGCCCAAGCTCCATTATATGGCATAGGAGGCACTGGATAATATAATATTTGTTTATTTGCAGGACTTTTTATTTCATCACATTCCTCCACGAACTTTAGGCTCTTGTCACACCTTATTCAGCAGAGCAAAAGACTCTAGCACTTGCCTTTCTAGGAGGCAGAACAGTAGAACTTGGACATGCAAAGCACATGGACTTTGGATCCAGACCAACTTGTGTTTCTAATCTTGGTTCCAACACCAAGTGTGATGTGTGATGTGTGGCCATAGGAAATTCATTTGATCTTATTTGCTAAGAAAATTTACTTTTGATGAGAAAACCTTTTCTTGTTTAAACATCTAAATAATTGTTGGGCTTACAAACCAGAATACAGCAGTAACTTGCAAAAAGTACAGTGTTTCCCAGATAGTAATAGTTGACTTTTTTCCCCCTTACAACAGAGGCAGTCTTTTGAATAGCTGGAATTTTCTTTAATTTCCACTATCAGTACCTTAGTTCCCTTAGTCATTCTTACCTGGATTATGACAACAGCTTTCTAAACTTGTCTCCAAATCTCAATTCGGTCCCTCCTCCTATCCTTTCTTTCAGATTCATCTTTGTAAACATTTCTCTGATCATGTCTTTCTGCTGTTTAAGAATCTTCAATGATTTCCCATGACCCCAGACTAAGCTCCTACCTCCTAACAATCAATATGCTTTTCCAGGCATGATATCCCATTCCCCTGCCTTTGTCTATGCTCCAGCATTCTCTAGATCTTTCCCATCTCTGTGTCTGTGCTCAAATTGTTCCTGTTTCCAGAATGTTCTACTCTAAACACTGCCTTTGGGGATATTACTCCTCCTTTGTGCCCACATTGCTAACACTTCCATGAAGCTTTCTTGGATGCAAGTGGATTTCACTTCTTCATATTGGCACCACATTGTTGGGATGATTCTCACATGTATATATTTTTACGTTATAAAATCTTTTTTAAACCCCCAGTAGATTGGGAGTTCCCTATGAACAAGGGAGATAACATTCATCTTTATACTTCCATCATCTGGAACCATAGTTGGAACACTATGGTAATTTAAAAGAACACTGATTAAATTAAGTGAGTGAATAAATGGCTCGGGAGCATAACTTTACCTCCACCTCACTACCAACATTGTGTGGTTGAAGTTCAGTTGAATAATGATTTTAGTGCGGTGCCATTGTATGGAAGGCTTAACAGCAATAATGCCTACATTTTTTGACATGTTAATTTTTGAAAAATTAACATATACATATATAAAAATATATATACATATATACAAATAATATGTATGTGTGTATATGTATGTGCATATATGGATATACATATATATATGTGTGTGTGTATATATATATTTCATTTTATGCACATGGGGCCATCTGGAAAAAGACATCAATTTTTCTTGGGCACTGTAGTAGTTATTTTATATTTTGGTCACATTTCATTATAACATCCTAACTAGACCCATTTCATTATCCCTACTTTACAGATGAGATAACTGAGATCCAGAGATGAAAACCTAACGTACTTGACTCTGGCATTATACGTTTTCCTGTTATACTACATAACCTATAGAAAT